ATATTGTGCAAGTCCAAACATAACGCAATCTTGTTATATATTGACCTTAATGTTGCATTTAGAAGTATGAAATCAACAAATTTGATATTAGAAAAAAATTAATTCAAAATTTTAACTAATTTTTTTTTCCAATTCAAAATCTAATAGTTGATTTTGTACTTTCAAACTGATCAAAAGATTGAGCTTTTGCAAGTTTAATTCTTTAAAACTCAAAAACCTTTCCATAAATAGTTTTCGTAATTATTTGAATTGTTAAAACAGGGATGTATTAATGTTATAAAAAAAACTGATGGTCTGATAGAGAGTGATAGGCATGAAAATAATGATAAATAGACAACTCTTAAAATAAAAAAAATAAAAAATAAAAAATAAAAAACTAATAGTCTGATAGCTTTAAAAAAATGATGGGACAATGTTTTTTTGTCTTTCCGGTACATCCAAATTGTTTTGTAACTCATAACAGGGAAATAAAAGTAAAAAAAGAAAATAAAGTAATTCAAATATTCAATTGAACCTCTTTTTCTTTTTCTTTTTCCTGAAAACATTGTTCAAGAAAATAGTCAATTTCAAGAACATACTAGCATTATGTTTGGTTGGAGATAATGATTGAATAAAGATGCATGAAACTTTTATTGTTGATTTGAGGGAAGGGAAGAGAGGGAGGAAGCATCCTTATTTCTTCTTCTTCTTCTTCTTTTTATATTTTTTTTATCCGTCCAATTTTGGACGGAAAGGAGGAGAGAAAAAATGAATAACTATTTGCACATATGTAATTTCCAACCTTTTTTTAAAAAAAAAAAATCAAGAAAAAATGAATAACTACCTACATATATGCATTTTCCAATTTTAACCTTTTAAAAAAAAATCAAATGGATTTCTACCTTTTTTATTTTATACAGCGAAGGTATATTGATAAAAGTATATAAAAATTTATTTCCCTTTTTTCTAACTAAACAAAAAAATATATATCAGTCATAAAAATGGAGACACATTTCCTTCCTTAGGAATTAGTCCTCAGTGCTCTCTCCCCATCCATTTTTCCATTCCTTCAACCAGACGGAGCATAAAACTGTTCTCCATTTTTATTATAAACTTAAAAAATGCCTAATTATTAAAAAAAAAAAATCACGAGTCTTTGAAGGACCTTGGAAAACTCAAAAGATAGTTTTGGGTCAAACAGATTGTGCCCTTTTAGTTTCCAGAGCATTGAAAGGCTTAAATTTAATGGGCTTTAAAGTCCATATAATTCACTGTTTGAACTGCATGACAGTAAATGACCATTTAAAAATATACCCAAATGGGCTTTTGAGCATTGTTGGGTCAATAAGCCTTTTTAACATATTTTGTAAAATACTCTATAAGCCTTTTTATCTCTATCGAGAACACAACTTATATATTATTACACTAGATCTTTGGTAGATTCTCCAAGGTGATGAATTCATCTATCAACTTTCTTCCATTTTTCTTGACATCAAGAAAGTTTTAAAAATCATGTTTTTAATTATTATTCTCAACAAAAAAAACTGTTTTCAGAATTACAAACCAAACAAATCCTACATTCCCGTATTATTTCTAAAGTGAGAATAATTTTCTTTTCTACCAATCTTTGCCACCAAAGGTAAAGCGAAGAAATCTTAATAATAATTGTGATTATTGGAAATTTCGATAGAATAAATCTTAATTATTGTGAATATCGTGGAAATTCTATCGTAAAGGTGGATGTATATACACTAGTATATATATATATGTATATAATGTTCTTGTATAAAAGAATACTTGTGGAATCTGATGCTCTGGTATTTGGAATTTCAAATGCTCATTCCTCCTGTGTGCTTACAGCTTTGTCCATGTATAGGGGGTATTGTGAAGAATGTTTGTCCACAAAAAAGAATAAAATGGAATTTTTGCTCCCTGTTTCAGTTTAAACCAATAGTATTTGTGGTGATAATTTACTGTACCAATCTTTTTCTGCATAACATCTCTCTCCTACAATTCTGTTTGCTTTTTAATTATACCTTTTTTTTTTTTTTGGTCTTACTGGTGCCAACTGGGAAGCATTGTGGATATGGTTTGTTAGACTAGGGTCATACCATAATTGTTAGGACCTGGTTCTTATTCTATTCCTCTTAATTGGAGACTTAATAGCAGTTATGGTCCCTTTGTTTCGACACAGGCGATTGTTGTATTGGTTGTGGTGTTAGGGATTCGAACGAATATTGATGTAAGTTGGTTGAATTAGCCCCTTCATAAATATATGTAATGGTATCAAACTTTTAAAAATGATTATGAACTGAACGATTTATCGCATATCGACCGGCAAACCATACACACTATATATATATATATGTGTGTGTGTGTGCAGTCATTTAATTTTAGTATTTTTTATATCATTTGTCACAACCCGTCCACCCTATGTAGATAGGGTCCGCCCATGCTTTTCAAAACTCGAATCATCCAAAACAATTTCTCTCCTGGCCAGATGTGGAACCTCACACCACAGATGTGTCAATTTATCGAACTTTGATATGAATCCAAACCGATAATTAAGATATAGATTGGAACATTCACTCGATCCGATAATCTATTAGGAATCCAAAATTGATAATATATTAACTAAACAAATCAAATGTGGATTACAGTCGATCCGGTCCGATAATAAAGATCCGATATAATATACTTATATTATAAATATATACTCTAATGCAAAAATATATAATATTTTTGTATATTATTAAAATATTTTTTTATCATTATTTTTTTTCTTTTTCTTTCTTCTCTATTTTGCCTCTCGTTTAACATTAATTTTTTTTAATAAAAAATATATAATTTTTAGATCGAATTATTGAATTGAATATGCAATCTATTTACATACCTACATACACTATGCTAGAATTAGAGAAGTTGGTTGACGGCAATACTTGTACCATCTAATTAGGTTACCTGGTTCGAACCTAAATATTTAAACTATAGCAATCAAGCAAATGAGCAATTAGCATCGTACCAACAATGTTATATTTTTATTTGTCAATTGTATGTTCCAATAATGTTGGAGGGACAACTTGATTGAATCTGGAATATAAAATGGTTTTGCTCTGTTGATCGATAATAGTAATACAATTAATATTCGGAATAATAATAGTGCCTCCCAATAAACGTTGGTGCGTCGTGGCACAAGACCTAACCATACCTAATTATTAAAAATTATTCGATCTTATCGAAGATAAAAAGCATGGATTTAACGTGGCCTGTTACTAAATTTTAAAACTGAAGGCAAAATATATCGAGAAGCTGTTGTTTTCATTACTCAGCGAACTTGGACTAAAATAAAAACATAAAATAAATCAAATTCATTTTAATAAAGTCAGTAGTAACAACTAACAATTGTTTATTATTCTTCCTTATTTATTTGAAAAATTAATTTTCATACATAAATAAAATCTCTTCCTTAATCTCATAAAATTTGTTCACGTTGAAAGCTGTGATTCACAATAATTTTCAACGGAAATATGTTTTGTCATGTTTTACGAGACAGAGCTAGTACCATATATAGAATTTTTTTTTGATGATGTGGGAACCCTCGCAACTACTCATCCTTTGAATTTATAATTATCAAATAAATTTCTGACTACACGACTCTACAGTGTAAACAATATTTTAAATTAAGATAATAAAAGAAGTGGGAAGCCTCTAACATTGACCGATGCAAGCCAAAGCCTCACCTTGCCAACTCATTGCTACCGCACTTTCCATGCTTTCCAAAACTAGTGATTTCAATTTTTGGCCTCCTAGTTTGTTGACTTGGGTGGTTCCATACAATGGAAAAAGAGTAATGTTACCCATAGATATACGGCTGTCGGAAAAAAGTTTTGGATTAAGCATACGGAAGAGAAGGAAATGAGTATCACCTTCAAGGTAGGCCTAATTCGTTGGATGTCAATCAGATCAGATTGTTAAACCCATAAATAAATGGTGGATTTAATAATATAAAATTTGTAATTTACTGATTAAGTTGTTAAAAATTTAATCTTATCTGTGAGATTTAATATATATATATATATATATATATATATATATATATTCTAAGAATGTATTAGTTAATGTTTTTTTTAAATTTTAAATTGAATTTAGTTAATGATCATTTAATGGTTTTTGATAATGTATTAGTTGATTAGCATTTAAATATATGTATTAATGTTGATAAATTAATATTTTATTATTCTGCGAACGTTAAAATATAACAATACCAGACTATTTAAGAAAATCTCAATCCATAGACCTGATAAATTTTAATAGTTGAAACCGGATCGTATTAGAATTAATACCTAATCAAATATGTGGTCACCCAAGGGACCATTAGTACAAAAACATGGACACTAATAATTTATCTATCAAAAGTTTAAATGTGATAACATTCTCACTTATTTTCTTCATTTTTTATTGAAAAAAAAAAAAAAACCTTTGTATAAACAGAAACACCAATAAAATTCATTTTTTATTATTCATTCTTAAAATAGCAGTCATTGTCGGACGGTATTTGAATGATTCAAGATTTTATTAAATACATGCCTCGTTGTAATAGAGTGACACCTAATCCAAAATGTGCTGGTTCTTGTGTAAAAGAACTCAATTAAACATTTAATGTTAGGTTCTGTAACACAAAATGATCCTCAAACCCAATTGTCATCCACCTCCGGTCCTCCACGTATGTATAACATTGTTGTTTTGTACCATAAAAATACAATCAGACCCTACAATATCCCACTTATTAAGGGTTACGCATATGTTATGGAACTCACGTTACATTATATGATGGCATATGCAATTGTACAATTGCATTAACCCTATCAGTTCTGAATATATATATGTGTGTGTTAAGGAACTCTTAAAACTATAAAAATAAAATAAATAATATTCCGTAAGTCCATTACCATACCATTTTCTTCCATTGAAATGATGATATAATTCTAAACATTCAACAAATGCAAACATTAGAATGAAGCTGAGAACGAAATATGCACCTCCTTTTTCATTCCTTTTCTTTTTGAAGGATATGCCGGATGGCTACAAACAACGCTGATATATGTAAAATTTCTGAAACTAATAAATTAAACAAAACTAAAATTAAAAAAAGAAAGAAAAAAAAAAAGAAAAGGGAATGTGACCATCCCATCGGCAACTACAAGTCCCGCCTCAAATCGACGACGACGACACTCACGTTATCAGCGCTGTTCCTGGCCAACGCCAACTTCGCCAGCAGAATCGAGGCGTCCGAGCAAGCCTTATCGGAACTCTCACCTCCGGCAGCCGCTCCGAGGTCGCAACCAGGGGACTGCGGCGGCGACGGTGGCTTCTGAGACCGCAGGCACATGCGCGCCACGTTACACGCGGTGTCGTTCGACACCACGTCCCACAGCCCGTCGCTCGCCAGTATCAGGCACTCGTCCTCCGCCGTCCGCTCCGTTACTGTTACCTCCGGTTCCGGTATCACGTACGGCTTCAAATAACTATCACCTGATCACACAAACAAAAAACGATTTCTTAAAAAATGGCTCTGTATATGATTGAACCGATTTGTATGGTATGATAAGCAATTTAAAGCATACCTATTGCTCTGGACATTGCTAAGACTCCAAGAACCCTAGCACCATCCCAGTATATAACACGACCACCAGCATTTTGTATTCGAACAAGCTCGTCAGGTCGATCAGGCTGTGATTCAAATTCAAAAATCAAAAACTGAGTCAATAACAGGTCTGGATCGATCTCGAAGTAATCAAAGCTTGCACTATGTATTGCAAGTTCAAATTGAAGATCAGTGTGTATTTGTGAAATTTTATTACCTTGTGATCGGAGGAGAGTGGAATTGCGACGCCGTTCCGGCAAAGCACGGCACGAGAATCGCCGCAGTTAGAGACGACGATCTTTTTAGGCGTCACGACGGCGACAACCGCCGTGGATCCGACGGCGTCGCACTGCGGAGTTTGAAGCTCGCACCTGCAATTCGAGGTTGAAGGACCGGCAGTTCTGCACCATTCAGTGACCTCGTTGTCCATGTGCGAGAAGCTCTTCTCCATCATATCCTTCCATGAAACTTCTTCGCTGCCTTCAAGCTCGTCTTTCACTATTTCGTGCAATCGATCTCTGCACTTCATCGCCACCTACAAACATTCAAATGAAATCAAAATCAATACGAATTCGTACACACTTTGTACGGAAATTTAGGGTGATGTAAAAGAAAAAAAGAAAACTTACATGGGAGCAACCGTGGCCATCGTAAACGCCGAAGAAATGAAAATTCCGGCTAGAAAACGACGGATGGATCGCGACAGCGTCTTCCATGTCCCTCCTCCTTCCACACACAGACTTCATCCCAAACTTCGGACACACCGGAACTACCTCCCGTTCATTTGTCACAGACGGCGTCGGAGGCGTCGACAGATTCAGAGACGTTGTCTCTGAATATTCTCCATTCTCAACCACTTCCTTTCCCTTAGTGTTACAGTTCTGAACAGCGTTTTCGCACTCACGCGACGGCGCCGGCGGAACAAAAACCTCCAGCTTCTGACGTTTCCGACAGTTCTTCGGCGGCGGCACGGGCACATCGGCGACGAACTTGAACTGGTGAATCTCCATTCTTCGCCTCCTCGCCTTCCGCGAACTCGCCTCAACCACTGGCGTTGAGGTCTCAGTATCACTAATAACTCCACAACACATCCCAGCCATCACCAAAACCAAAACCCAGAATCGATCTAACAAACAAACAAAGCCTTAAAACCGTAAAATTAGAATTCCGATTCAAAGAAGCTCAAAATTGAAACCCTAGGATTAGGAAAGGACGAAATAAGAGATACAAGAGATCTTAGGCACGCTCAATAGGACCCTCTGAATGGAAGCTTTTTTAGCTGTGATGGGGAGACCACATTATACATAGTAGAGGGGTGAGGTCAGAACGGGCTGCCCGTCACCGTCACGGGCAGCATCCGACATGTCCAGTTGGTGTGACGTAGAACGCTGAATACTAGATGGGTGATCTGAACCGTCCATTGATATCTTATGGGTTTCTCTCTCTTGCTGTTAAGAGGACACGTGTGGAGGCATTTCGCTATGGTTGACGTGGTCCAATGGGAGATGCACACGCATGAATAGAACGGCCTTACTTTACTGACACGCATGTGGTCCTGGGACGACCTGCCTGTTATTCGGTTCTCTAGTCTCACCCGATTTTTATATTCTGGTTTGTGAACTGTCGCAGAGGATATCACCACGTGGCGGGATCGTATAATGTTGATTCGTGGTTGATTTTCATCATCACACGCGTTGCTACGTGTGGTGTAACAAGACCATTTCGATTTTTGGGATTTTTTACTTCATGACTCGTGTCTTTTTTAAATAAATAAATAAAATTTAAAATAAAAACATCAAAGATATTTACAAAATAAATTACTCCTTATGTTACAACTTACAAGTGTCTAGAATCTAGAGTGGAGAACAACCCATTAAAAAATTTAAAACAAATTAAAAATATAATATATTTACATTTTTTAAGCTTGCAATCGTGTTACATTCCTAACTTATTTTTATTATGTGATATTAGATTATAATTTAATTGCAATCCAGCCCAAATATTAATATGTAAAAATTGAAATCTGTTCTATTCTGAAAACTGTTTTTTCTCATAACAAAACTAAAAAAATATAAAAATAAGTGTAGAAATTTGTCTGAACACAATTTTATTCAAATGTAAATAGGAGAGGACCCATGTTTATTTAGTTTTAATTGCTTAGACTGGTTTTTATTTTTATTTTCATAGAGCTAAAAAAAGAAAAAAAAATGTTGCATAGAAATTTATTTGAACAAAATTTTCTAAAATTTTAGTTAAAGTAATTATTTGTATTTTCTGACTTTTGTGACCTCGCAGTACCATTGTTGAATTTATTATTATAATTTTTATAAGTCAATGCCCAATAATTCTATTTATTGTCGAAGAAAAATGGTAAAAACGCCACGCGCTTGGTAGGCGGAAGTGGGGATGGAAGAATTGGCAAAATGGTAATACGGAGTAAAAGCGATGGAAAGCGTCTACGTAACAGGGGAAACAGGGGAAGAAGTGGACATGTGTGGGACCACACGTCAACGTCGATGGACGCTTTGCAGAATATCTGAGGCTTGGTTTAGCGATCGCTCAACACGCGTCCATTACCTACGTGGAGCTGAAGCAGCAACTCTCGTACGTCGCACCATCCATCCACGTTTTGAGCACTTGTTTACGATTTCAATTTTAATTGCCGTCCGTAACGTATTCATTCTCCCCAAACACAAAAAATAACATACACCTCTCATGGACTTTTGTCTGTACTAATAATTGTTGGCACCCCTTTTTATTCAATACCATTCTCTAAAGTCACTGGTTTCACCTGTTTAGACATTTGTTGAGAAATTTTTACAGTTTTAGGCCAAGTCACAACACCAGTAATTAGTTATGTGCTCATATCTGATTGTCCGGATCATAGAATAATTTCTTGAAATAAATTATGGTCTTGAGTTATGTATATATAAATAATATGCCAATGCCTAACAAATATTGAAGGACAATAGGATAATATCCTCATCTTTTACCTGGCTCAATGAAATATAAAATTTCTCATTTTTTTATTAAACAAGTAAAAAAAATAAAAAACCATAAAGAAGGCTCAAATATATATATATATATATATATATATATATATATATTTTCTAGAGTTCAACGGTTCTCTCTTCCCAGCACCAACCTTTAAGCCTCTCTCTTCATTATATTCTTCCTCTCAAGTTTTTAGTCCCGGATATCATCATTCAATATATTTGAAAGATGTATGATCTATTGTTTTTTTTACGCATTTAGGATTCTTTTTCTAGAAAAGCGCTTTCCATGAATTGTAAAGAAACTCACCTTAGAGGCCAATGATCAGCTTGCCACTTTAATAGTTCGTGGAAAGCCCTTTTATAGAAAAAGAATCCTAAATATATTTTTAAAAAAAATAGATCATACATCCTTCAAATATTCTTGACAATTGAATAATGACGTACAGGACTAGAAACTTGAGAGGAAGAAAATGGTGGAAAGAGAGTGCTGAAGGTGGGTGCCAGAAAGAGAGAGAAACAAACGTTGAACCCTAGAGAAAAATAAATAAATAAATCTAAAACTGAACCCTGGTTTATTTTCTCTTTTTTTTTTATAATTTTTTTAGACTATTTAACAAAAGATGACGTATTTTATTTTTACTGGACCATATAAGAAGTGAGGATATTGTAATTTCTCACTAGTTAAGACCTACGTAAGGTCCAATATTCAAATTTAGTACTCAAATTTAATAAAAGTTGTATAATTTTTTGAGGCCCGTTCTTTCACAGTATATATATATATATATTCCTGATTAAATATCCATGAAATGAGCAGACTTGAACATATTTTCCAATATATTTAAAGAATAACTACTTTTAATTATGTGGCTTATTTGTTGTTTTAGGTGTTCGGAGAGTAAGAGGTTTAGTAAAACTTTAACAGTGTTTTAACTGTCATTCCATATTTGGTGTGAGTGAATGAAATCAAATGAAGCAGGAATGAAATGTTTTTGTTTCTATTCTTTATTTAGTAACTAATTTTAAAGTTGAAATGTTGATTCCTGACAATTTTCCGAGAATGGTGGTTCCTATTAATTCATTCCACTTTCCAACTAAAGGATTGGCCATTCCATTTCCACTAAAAAAAAATAAATAAATAAATTGAATTAAAAAACATTTGAAGAAACGTTAAAACATGGCTAACTAGCTATGTTCTTCCCCTCTCTCTTCATCGGAGAACTCACCGCCGATTTTGACTAGCAAGATTACGGTACCATCACCAGTGTTAAAGATCAGGTTCCCTCCAGACACGTCGATTTTGGATTGATTTACGAGGGAGAGATCAGGTTTCCTCCAGACGATACATTGATTTTGAACTTAGGGTTTGTGCAAATTTTGTGAAGGAATTTAGATTGATTTGTATGGCTTCGTGGACCGCGACGAAAGTGGTTGCTCCTCTATTTGTTCTTCTCTTCTGTTCAGTGAAGCTTTCCCGGCAAAAGTTGTGGTTGCGGTGGTTATGATCAGCTATATACATATATATATATATATACATACATACATATATATATATATGTTTGTGTGTGAATAGGTTTTACATATGTGTGTGTGTGTGTGTGTGTGTGAAATAGGATGTTTGGCTGTGGGTGTGGAATGGAGGTTCGGTGGTAGGTGAGATTTGATACGCATTTTTAGAGAAAAAAGAAGAGAAGAGAAAGGCTTTTCTGTGCAACCAAACATATCTCATTCCTATTACATTATCTGATTCATTCCATTCTCACTTTATTTCATTCAATCACACCAAACATTGCCTCAGTGTATATCTTGAAAGTGTTGATTAATCAAAATGGCGGAACCTTAATTTGAAAACTCTCTAATAAACATGCGAAATTTCTAAAAATAGGAATATTTGCCTCTTTATCTAGAAACAAATTTAAATTTAAATTTGATTTGTTAGAATTTATAAGATTTTAGCTTATTGGGTAGGATAACAAACCGCAAGTTCTTGACTTGTTAGAGCCTCTCCAATGAACTTTTTAAAATTCAATAGCCACGTTAGCATTTTTCATAGCCACGTCAGCATTTTAGAGTCTCCAAATTTTAGTTATCGCATTTACTCAAATGGTGCAATTTTACTCTCCAAAAATATTAATATTTTAATATTTTTTAAATTTTTAATAAATTATCTTTTTCTATTTGTTAGGGAAAAAAATTTGTTTGGTTAACCAATATAGCCGTTAAGACACTATTTAGGTCAGCTAAACAGTACCTAAAACGACTGTAATGTCAATAGGAATATTAAAATTTTTGAAAAGGAAAAAAATTCATTTTCTTCTAATTTTTCAAAACTTTTTTTTGGCCTAAAAAAACCTTTAAGGCACTGTTTGTGTCAGCCTGACATAAACAGTGCCTTAATGGCTCATTAGTTTAATTATGTTGAGAACAAAAAAAAAAAAAAAAAACTTATTTTTAGATTTTTTTTTTCATTGCCAAACACGCCCTTAAATGTATTCTGGGTTACAGTATTGCTAGGTCTCAAAAGTTAAAAATCCAAAAAATGGGCGGGCTCGCAGGTCAGAAGCCTGGAATCGCTAATTGGGTCGCGTTTTTGGCCACCCATTCCGCGACCCAAAACATGGGGCCCATTTTTTGGGGATTCTATTGGGAATCTCTAAATTCTGGGCCGTTGGAGCTGCTCTTACAAGTAGTATTAATGGAGCAGGTTTAATAGCGCTTTTATTATAAAAAAATTGCATTTAGATGTTTTTGGTAACTATTAGAATCGCTTTAAATAGTTACCAAATTTAGTTTAATAGATAGTTTGAATGAAGTTAAAATTTGTAACTTATGAAACTGCATTGGGAGTAGAGGTTGAATATTTTAGGTAACTCTTTTTTATTAGACAATTTTCTACATTTTATTTTCTATAACGACAATGACACATCTTCCTTAATAAAATTGTTATACAGTAGCATCATATTAAATGATATTATTGTAAAATAAAACAATAGAAGTGTTTTCAAAAAATTGTTACCAAATAAATTTAAAAATAAATTAATTAGAAAAAATACTTATTATAATATGTCATCAAACACCTAATATGTCTTTTAGTGACCGCAATTTTTGACAGCTCTATCAACAACTCCAAACGAAGTCTTTGTGTTTAGGTCACTATTGAATCCTCCATTGTTAAGGTGGACGGGTCGGTTTGGTGATTTGGTCACGACAACAAAAAATTCCGAGTCCATAATTAGATAGAAAGAAAGAGGAAACTTCATTCGTATAGGAGAAAAGAGATCTGGAGAATATGTAC